CTCGTGTCTGCTTATTGATGAAAAACATTGAATTATCAATTAATGCCGAGGTTAACAGAAAGTCGGTCATGGGAATTTTTTTGGATTATTTGTCGTAATTTACTATGAAGCAAATGTGTATAGCTCTTGATTAGTTGATTTTAGTGCAGCTTTATTTTAATGATAACAATGAGGGTCAGGTAGTTACATGATCAGTAATTCAAAAACAGAAGGCTTAATGCACTAGAGTACTGCTGTTTCTGTTTCTCGGCTGGCTGAACGCTTTCTCTGGATAGTCAGGGTTGCATACCATTTGATTTCTGGAGCTTCACTACTAGTTGTCTCAATGTTCTGTAGTAGCTCTGCGAATGAAACTTTCCTAACCTTAAATAAATTTGCAACTAATGGTTCTCTACTTATCTTCACAGCTTATCGACAGATTTCGAACTCGCTTACACCTTATATTGCCTTACTTGAAGATAAGTTCTCTCGTTGCTACTTATTTCAACATCCAATTATGCATTGCACCATAGTAAAGTCGTAAGCCTTCAAAGTTGTTTGGTAACCGAACAGAAGTTGGGTTAGTCTATTTGACACTGCATTACTGGTCTTTTTAAAATTAATATTTTTTATTAACATAGTTAAAAAATAAGATTAATATATAAAAATAAGAAATAATGTCTTTTTAAAATGCTCTCAGGTATGGGTTCAAGAGGTGAACTCGGTGAATGAGATAACCAGCGATTTTGACATGGATATCTACGTGACAGAGCTATGGATGGATCACGCCTTACGATATGATCATATGAACCCATGTAAATACAACCTTTCACTGAATTATGAGGTTTGTTCGTATTTTGCTAAAAGGTGTTTCTGTCGTTGTTAAGTGTGTTATCGAAGTTATTTATAGAACAAGGTAAATCTAATAATAAAGAAAATATTACTGATTTATTGGTTATTGAAATAGTAGAAGTTGCAACTATTTTGAGAAGATTCTCTTTGCACTTACTGAGACAATTTTTGGCCGAGCTTAAATGACAATTTGAAGGAATAACTGATATCCTATTTTGCTGACAGCCTTAAACCGTGCTGGTGAAACTTCTCACTATGGTGAAAATTCCAATATTAGTTCCGACTTTTTAAAACGGTTTATTGAATTTAGTAGACTCTACGCCAGAAAGTTGAGGTTTCCAACAATGTAATAGGCGTCGGAGCCCGAATGGAATCCAGTGGAGGAGGACCTCGCAGGAATCAAGTAGTATCGCCGTGTCCTCTTGCTCTAGACGTCTTTGGTTGACTGTACATTCATGATAGTAAATTTTTTTCAAAGTATATTTTGCACTTCTAAAAGTAAAATTTAACGGATACAATGTCATAAAAACAGTGCACATTTTGCAAAGTTTTACTGATAGGGTGTTCAACTCCAATAGATTCGAATCGGTGCGATTGTGAAGACCATTACATCGTTGGAAACCTCAGTGTTGTGGTGGATACTCCAATTAATGCGTGCCTCACAGAATGCTGATACTGGTGGAACGTCGGCATCGCTGATGAGACCAACTTTATTTTCCCTAATAGTTCATTTGAGAATAACGTGCGCGGGGTTGATCACCTCTTCAGGAAGGCGCCACGGATTCGACTTTCTTCCTTGGATCTCAGAGGTGGTGGTTGAAAGCAGATGCAGTGTACACGATGACTGACCGTTGTGCACCGATGTGTTAATCATTTTTCAATCATTCCAGACAAATCTTGTACCAATTCCGAGATCCAGGTGGAAGAGTGATTTTGCTAGCCCTAACGTTCTAGATTGAATTAAGAACTGGCATCATATGACCAAGTTCACCAGTTCACTACACCCTTCCCAAGAAAAGAGCCTTAACTCATAAAATGACGTAAAGTATATATGAGCTTATGGAAATGTATATAATACTAATAAACTTGTGCGAGTATCCAATGTGAGTTATCCACGTATTCTTCACTGTACACGACTCAGCAATTTTCTTTTCAGATTCTTGATCAGATTTGGAAGCCGAACACGGTGTTTATTAACAGTAAAACGGCTCACATCCACAAATCTCCGTTCAAAAACGTTTTTCTTATGGTATATCCGAATGGCACCGTATGGGTAAACTATCGGGTTCAAGTGAAAGGGCCATGTTCGATGGATTTTAGGTGAAATTTTGTCCCAATTTATGCCCAAACACTCCCGAAAGTACTTTGTGAGGTTCACCAATTACTTCAGTGCTTTTCCTATGGATCGTCAATCATGTCATCTAACGCTGGAATCATTCAGCTACAACAACAAAGAGGTTCGCTCAGCTTATTGAGAAGTAATACTTTTAAGAATGCATGTAGTTTTTGCAATAAATAGTTTCTGTTAATAGTCTCCAAATTATGAATAATGGTTGATATCATCACTAAGTTTTGAGCGACGGTATGAGACATTTGTAAGGTCCCAATTCTCACTTGGAAAAGGTGAATACGTAATTTGATCCAATTCGATAAGATGATCGGAAGAATCATGTTGCAGGTTGACATGCAATGGGCAAATTGGACGGATTCGTTGATTCTTTTGAAAAAAGAGATAGTCCTTCCCGATTTTGTGCTCAGCAACTATTCAACCAGTATTGAACAACAGGTTTTTCGAAACCTACTACTTTCTTCTAGTTGTGCTTAAACCCATTCATGGAAGTTGCCATCGATTCTTTCTTCTTAGAGTTTTTCATATGTAGGTTGAGTAGAAGACACATTTTTGCACAATATATTATAGAAAGTGAAATCGATAATAAGTCTTTTGATTTCTTGCGGGCAAAGTCCCACTACATTTTGCAGTGGCTGCAACAAGCTTACAAACATAATAAATGGTACACAATATTCGACAAATACATAGATATAACATAATTGGTAAGGGGTGCGTGTGGTGGAGTGGTTGGAAGCGTCACTGCGACACGCTTGTGTACTCGATCCTCGGGCTCATGGCCCACCAAGCTTTCCATCCTTTCGGGATCGACAAATTGGTACCAGAGTTGTCTGGGAGGATAGTGCTGACTCAATACATCGGCAGGCCACCCTGAGTCATTGTAAAGGCCAGATGTGCATTCAATCACCTCCAACGATACTTAATGAAGTCGAATGCAGTGTGCATCCCTCAAGAATTGATCAACACCGAGAGCTTTACCCTTCATCCTTTTATCCTACTAAACTCGGGGATATCGTTTAATTCCATAGAACGAAGGTTGGTGCCTTACATTCTTCTCATGTCCTCCACTAAATATTTCATTTCATGGACAATAGTCAATTGAAGCCATCTTATTCAACAAAACTACTTAATTCCCTTGTTGGAAGTATTTTCCGTGATCGATTACATTAATAAAGAAATCGTTATTTTTTATAAACATTGGCTACACTTTTATTTTTTGTCCTTTTTTGTATATTCCAGCAACATCACTTTAGTAACCCACTTTCATTTAACTTCAACGTGAATAATCCATACTGTTGGTTTAGATTGTACAGCTGAACAATGTAAGCCAGCATCATCAGCTTGTTATCTTTTTATTTTAACTCTCAACTCATGAAAATTTTATGCGACTAACATCTGGAACACTGACAGACCAAAAAAAAAAAGAAAACGAATGTAAGAAAAAATCACTGCCTTGGCTGATTCTTGTTAGTCGTTCTTGTTCCAGATCTATCCTGCCGGAGTTTGGAATGAATTGACAATGACATTCGTGTTCAGCCGTCGATACGGGTGGTACATTTTTCAGGCCTATATTCCTACTTACCTCACCATTTTCATCAGGTAGTCAACACATACCGTATACCTCTGCCCCTCAATATTGTACTCAATAAACAAAAAAAAAGACAAACCAATAATAGAAAATTTCAGTTGGATAAGTTTTTGCCTTGGTCCGAAAATGATTCCTGCACGAACAATGCTCGGAGTCAACTCACTATTAGCACTAACATTTCAATTTGGAAATATTATGCGAAATCTGCCACGTGTTAGTTATGTTAAAGCGCTTGGTATGCTCATGACACTTTTTTTTCAAGCGTTTCTTTCATTTCTTCATTTTTAATGAAAAGCTTCACCAATGATTTCGATATCTGCAAAAGTTTCTAACTCAGATATTTGGATGTTAGTATGTCTAACGTTTGTATTTTCGTCCCTGCTCGAACTTGCTGCGATAGGTGCCATGGGAGCGAAAATGGAGGTACAGAAACGATTTCTTCATGATATGTAAATAGCTCTAAAAAATAGCTCTTATTTGTTCGTTTCACTTTACCTTTTTGCAGGTTAAAGTTAAATCATATATGGCACAATTATGCTATGAAGAAAATGAATTTGATTATGGAATTATATATAAAAGAGGGCGGATAGCACTGTGGTAGTAATGATGATCATGACGAGCATGGTAGTGGTTCGATCCCATCTCTTGCTCACCATGCCTGTCATCTTTCCGTGGTAGAGGAGTTGATGCTAGACTTGTCGAGGAAGAAATCACTCTCTGCAATTTAATTGGTGGTACTCCAAGCCGGCTACCTCAGGACTACAGGGGAATCGAATCAACCGCTAATCTACGCCATTCAAGATGAAGTGTAATTCTTCAAGCAACAGCCGAAACCACACGTAAGAGTTGGAAGATCTTCTTGGATGATGGATGCGAAGAAACGGATCGAATGCGAGCAGTGCTGTAATCCGAACAGTAAATTTGAAGAGAGGTCATATGGAATAAAATAAATCTAAAAATTGTATACAAGACAGATGTCGCGCTATCAATGCCTATCCTTTGAACAATAATAGTTTTAACAACAATTTTTCACTTGAGCAAGTGAGTGAAAGCTGGTCAGCCGATACTGATTTTAGTTATTGTTATTATAAATCAGAGAAAAAACGCTGCTTCTACTGAGCGTTCTCGCTCCTCTTCATGTGCCTCGCCGAGAATCTGTCGTAATCATGTTCAAGCGGATTCCCCGCATGGATTTCGAACTTACGGTACAACAGGTCAATAAACAGTCATATTCATTGTTTCGATTTCAATAATAGAAATACTGCACAATGATTATTTGCGCCTAGCACAATATGACTAATTTTTAAAGAACGTTAAAATAGTACATAGCAAAGTCTATTGGCTATTAAACGCCTAGCGGAAAGCCTTCGCGTCGCTCAATGCCAGGTGTCATACATTGGACACCATTCGTGAGTGCTTATTTAGCCTAAACAATGGATTTTATGAGACGGTATCAATTCCATGCTTTTTTATCTTCACAGAAAAACCTATGACAAATTCGCCAGCACTGGAAGAATGCAGGTCTTAGCTAGTCTCATAGCGTTGTGTCGAACCAATAGCCTTGTGTGTATTACTAAAAACCCCTAACCATTTCGTTACATAGGCTGCTGCGAAATATTGCCGTAAAGAGCCGGCTACTCGTAAGAAATTATTTTAATTAATTTCGATTTTACTTCTCAAAACACTCGTTTTCATCAGAATGAAAGTATTTTGCCTAGTACAGTATGAATGAATCAAAAATTGTACCAAAGAATGCATTGACAAAATTGCTTCGAGCGCGGTAGGCGTTGTTATAACTGCGAGGTCACCATGAATTTTTCTTCATTCAGTGACACTAAAAAGTGTTTTCCGTGTTTACTATTTTAATGTTTCTCTTATTATTACGCTACGTCCGAGTATATTCATGATACCTTAGATCCACGAATGAGAAAGAAGATGCTCCTAACAACTTCGAGAACGGTTTCACGAACATCCAAAGAAGTTGTACAGTGAGTTTTATAGCTATCGATTGTCATTTTTAAGATGGTACTTTTCAAGATATTTCTTCGACCGCCTTTTTGTACTTTTCGGCAATTCAATTTAACACTGGACAAAAACGCTTAGTAACGGTTAGTCTGCCATTTCCCTCAATAACCTATTCAGGGGTAATCTAAATAGCCCATTTAATAAGCGGTAGGCTTCTATGTTCTGGAAAAAGGTATAGATAGGCTAAACCGCATTCGGCGCTGATCAATCCTTTAAGAGAAGCGCCGCGCATTCGACTTCATGAAGTACCGATAGAGGTGATTGAATGCATATCGGACTCATTCAATGGCTTGCCTGCAGAGGCATAAGGTCAGAGATTTTATGTTCCCAGGCAAATCTGGTACCGATTCTCCGACCCTCGAGAGATAGAAGACTTGGTGATTCTGAGAATAGGAATCAACTACCAACGGCCACGTGTGTGGTGTAGCGAACCCCTGACTACTGTTCTAAATGCAAATGCAATTTAAATTGAGGATTAGGCAACGATAGTATGCCAATTTATATAGCTCGATTTGTTACCATTGTTAATCATTCTATGAACAGTGCATGTTATATTTGAAAGCTAGTGGAAATTTTTATAAATGTGTGTGAACGATTGTTGAAGGACACCGGAGAAAATGCTTCTGCTGGATAGTTGTGAGGACAAGCCGTTTGTACCGCCGCCAACAAGAAGAGAATGGTCGACAGATCGTATCGATAGGATGAGCATGGTGGCGTTTCCCGGATTGTTCACTCTCTTCAACATCATCTACTGGTCCTACTATCTCATTTTAAGCGAATAACTTCACTAAAAATTATTATAAAGAAATAAATGGAATAGATTAGATAAATATGTTAACGCATGTTGCCTTTTTATAGGTAGACTATATGACTATGTATGCATATACCTTTCTTTCATCGCATTTACAATAATGTATGGTAGAGAACAAATTGATACACCTTTTGACGCATATGTGCCTCATTTTGCTTACGATATATAAGCTGTTATTCATGCTCAATCTTTTATGTTACAAATAAATCCTTTTATTTCAAACAACATTTGTGTCTATCCATATTTAGCAACCATTTTTTTCTTCTACATTACCCGTCATCACACTAACTGCGCGGATCCCAGCACCTCTTGCATTCCATTCGTTTATTCGCATCCAACAACCACAATTGTCATCGAACATTTAGCGTGTTATTTGAGCTGCTGCTTGAGGATTTCGTCTTAATGAATGTCGTAAAATATTGTCCAAGTCAATTCTTCTTGCAATCTTGGAGATAGTCGAGCTAAGGCGTTTCCACGTGGATTGGAAGAGAATGCTGGAGTGGAGATCGGACTAGCGCCTTTGCTTCGTGGTCAACGGCATCACTAACCACTCCGCTATCTCCGCCCTTCAAAACAGGTTATCATTTAGCATCTTTAGTGCAAATACTAGACACTTGATTGACCCGTCTTCACTGGTTGGGTCGTCACCTTCACAAGTAGGCATCGCTTTTGTGCATAAGGGGAAAATTTGCCATTGTGCGAATAGTTTGATACCAGGATGGTGGCAGATACTGGTATTGCTTTACTCCTAGCTAGCCTTCCTGACGGAAACGCGGGACTCCTTTTCAGCATGGGAGATCCTGCTAGGGGATGGACTTCGCGGTGTACATCGCAGTCCGACACCCAGGAACACCTCCCAGTCACGATGAGGCGGTAAACCATTGGTTAAAGTGGTGAAAATAAGTTATGAAAAATGCGTAAAAAAATGAGAAGTGTTACCCAACGATAAAACCGCAAGAATTTCTTACCCATTTTTGGGATGGAAGAAGGATAAATTATAGTCACTAGGGAAACTGTAGGATGGCTTCTCTCACCTATGCAAAATTTGACAGTGAAATGAGGCCACGATGCAGAAATCAATAAAGTAAGGGCGGCTACAGCAATTACGGAGGCTTGCTAGTTACGCTCAAATGGGATAAGAATCCTCACGGTAGAAATTTAAGTGAGGTAATAGGATCCCGGAATTAAAACACTTCATTAACAAAGAAAAGCGGCTAAGTATAATAGTCACCAAGTGGTAGAGAAAAGAAGCATAATAAATGATGCTACGGCATGTTTATGGCTAAAAATGTTACAGAGGAAATAGCCTTGACATTTTCTAGTGACTACTTTTGACACATTCTCGTGACAGTCTGTTACATAGCAGCAGATGTTTCGTACTTTGTTCTCTGAAATTATTAGCGGCGAAGTTTTATTAAGACTTTTGATTGGTCTACTCCTGTTGTAATAAAAATCTAACTAATATTTGTACGCAGTTAAGTGAAGTGAATAGCTGAAGAACGCCTGCGGTCTCTTCTGCATCACGTGCTAGTTAACGGGAAACTCCAAGAACGCGGTTAGCACATGGCATTTCTTTCCAGCACTTTCTGACCACTTTAACAGACATTTCTTATAAAAAGAAAACAAAAAAAAAACACATGTGCTCACTAATGGTCCATACCACTTCATTGCTGTATGTCATCGAGTTCATGTAGATGGCATGATTTCTTGAAAAGTCCTTGACAGATTTATTTTAACAGAAAATTCAACAAAGATGACAAAAGCGCTCCCTAGTATAACGATAGCACTCTGCTCCTGCTTATGATAGGCACCTTTCTAGTAGTTCTACTATAACATCTTTTGTTCCACGGCTCTCGTAGCCAATTTGAATATTAGTTCTTTCAGAGCTTACATGTGTATGTTACCATGGCAGTTCCAGTTAATCATGAGAAAAAAAGTCGGCACTGTAACGAAGATTTGACAGCAACTGGAACGAACCAGTGAGCAACGTGAGTTTATCTCAATTCAAACAACTCTATACAATCAATAGAAATGGGGTTTGAAATGAGGAATTTCTATCGCTCAGTTATTTTGACTAATACAGCAATACGAACAATCTTTGTAGCAGTCATTCGAACTGAGAAGTTATCATCTTTCAATAAAGAAAAGTTTGGGCTTAGAACAAAGCCGAAATGAACGGCTTCAAACCTCGATTACGAATGCTTCCAAATATTTGTTATTGATGTTTGGGACTCAACATATCTTCAAAAAGGAGCAATCTCACCCATGAGTTGATGTAGAGTTTCCCAACTCTACTTACTTTCCATGATAGAAAATCATCTCTTTTAATAGGGTTAGTTAGCTATTAAGAGCGTAGCGCAGTGGTTAATTATGCAATCCAACAGAAAGCAAGGTGCTGGTTCGATGTTTTCTCCACACTTTCCCCAATCCACGTGGAAAACCTTAGTCTGGGTGTCTCGAAGACTGCAAACAGAATCGACTCGGTAATCAGTCTACGAAATTCATAAAAAGAAGAGGAAATCCTCAAACAGTAGTCTAAACAACATGCGGTTCGGTGACGACTGTTAGCGTTGACTGCAAGGAAAGCGAATGGAATGCAAGAAGTGCTGGAGCACCCACAGTGGATGTGATGAAGAGTCATTTACAATAAAAAAAATATGGTGTTCTCTTTGCAGTGGTTTAAATGTTAAAGTGCTAGAAGTTGTATAAGGAAACTTAGAAGTTCGCGGCGATGAAAGCAGTGTACTCGTGCTGCACAGTTTTGGTCAACATTACCTATCTCTCAATATGTGTGTTGTATGGCTACTGAGCACCGTTTTTTGTGGCGCTTATACCACTTTACTCAATAGGGAAGAACATTCAATGCCTTTTCTTAACAAAGTGTTTCTTGGAAAATCTGCTGCTTATGAGAATTGTCAGGTCAGATCGTGGTTGAGTAGTAAAAATAAATTAAACGGCAAAAAAAGCGTGAACAGCATGTTGTCCAGACGATGGTAAACTGGAAACGAAAACAGAACAATACATCGCTTGAAAGACATTCTCAAACCCTACAGAGGATGTCGAACAATTTTTCGCTGTACGCCAACCTCAGTAGTTTTTCAGATAAAAGTTCATTAGTACGGTTCACGATCCACTAAGGACGAATTATTCCACGAAAGACAAAGACCGAATTAGCTCTAAGTTCATTGTTCTTCATTGTCCCCCTACCCACACTAGCGAGTCATTTCCGCAATTTCAAGCCTTCCACGCTCAAGTATTATCGTGAAGCCGATAAAAGTGGAACATAACAAGATGGAAAAACAATGCTCTAGTAAAAGCAGCGTAAGTGAAAAAGGAGACATAAGTGAAAATTTCTTAATAAATCAGAGTTCTCGCATTTATGATTTGTAATTTATTATTTTCTGCTCGCTTATATAGATTCCTATCAATATACCCTTCCTGGCTCTGAGGAAGGCGATACCGCCGAAACGTCAGAATGGATTAAGGAGACTGAGTTTTTAGCAGAATGAAGAATGAAGTAACACCTCGTGCTTGCTAAACAAGAATATCAAGAACTATTTGTTTATTCGTTTATTGTTTACTTCACGCGACCTTTCTTAACGCCTACTGTGCAGGTCCCAGCATCTTACATTCGGTTCGTTATCTGGCAATCGTCGTTCACAAAAGACATCGAAATTTTCGTGTTTCGGTTCGCTTAATCCTTGAGGATTGACATATTCTTCATGAGTGCTGATGAACACTAGCTGGGTGTATTCTCCCTCCAGTCATGAAGTAGCCCACCCAGCGAGCCTTCCCGCTTTGATTGCAGGAAGTGAACCGTTCCTAGACAAGTCTACTATTAATTGCCTAACTTCGGATGGAGAAGAGGTTTTATGACCTTTACACATTTACACATGCGCCAAATTTAAATTTAAACCTTATTGTCACGAGCTATCAAGGTGGTGCATGGAAGAGCGATATTATTGGGTGTTAAAAGACAGTGATATCTTAAAAGAAACTGTAACTATAAATTAGGATAACGCAGACTTATTTGTCGTTTAATTCAGTTCCACTCTCATCTTGTGAAACTGTCCTTCACGTGACTTTGGAGAAGAAAGCCTCAGAAGTAACTTTGAAAAAATTGAGCCGATTTGTTACAGTAAGCCAAGTCCTGTCGTTTACATTATTTACTCGTCTAATTTTCTTCCATTTTTCTTGCTATTTCGTTGTGCTTCGTCGACAAGATTGAACTGAAGCTTTTCGTCTATCATAACGTATCTGTCGTAAAGCTCATCCCTGTTGTCCAACCACGAATTCTTTTCTTTCTTCGAGCAAAACAACATCTGAAAGTATTTTTTCGTGAATTGAAAACAATAAATTCTTAGAATCGTTTCCATGTTTCCATGGATTTACTGATGCGTAACTGTTGCAAAACCAAGTTTAATTGGTTAGTTGATTGAAAAATGCCTTCACCGAATGAAAAAAAGAGATTTTCAGAAAAGTCGGAGTCATAAAGCGAAAAAACGCGTAGGTCCAAAAAAACCGGTAGAGAAAAGAAAGAAACGAACCTTGTTAAATTTTGCGAACTCCATAAAATAGCATGATGGGAAACGGCGGGAGTAGACGAAAAGCACCTTAAAATTCCAGAAAACAAAACCCATCAAATACGATGGTTTCATGTAATTAAAAAACAGCTCTTAAAATTATTTCCATACGCGATCAGCTTCCTTGATGTCCTTTTTAAGTGTAAGAACGTTAATAATTACTGCTCCTAAAAGAGAAATCATTGATTGAATAATTTAAAATAAAATGAAACAAAAATAAATAAATAAGAGAATAAAATAAAAATATGTGAATAAAATAAAATTTAAAATTTTAGCTCAATTTCCTACCATTATCTTTTATTATTTTGTTTATTTGTTGAATTTCATCGTCTAATAGAAATTCTTCTATCGGAGCCATCAATGGTCGCACGTCGTTATATGAAACGTCTATCAACAAAACGTCGTATAATTCACCTAAAAGAGCAGAAAGAAGCCACTAAATTTGTCATAACTGCAATAATATTTGTAGGATACTTTGGGAGTCGGAGTATTGGGGTGAACCCAGAATTTCCAGGATCGCTCAAGCACCTAAACAGAAAGTCGGTTTTCAGAATGAGAAAAGGGAGGATTCCAGTGTTTGCATGACGTTCTGGAGGGTGGCGGTAAATAATATTGGCGAGATGGTTTTTGACGTCATTGCTAATATCGAAATCTTTATGTAGCTCATAAAGCATCCTTATACACTGAGTAGAGACCCTCTGATTATCAAGGGCTTCCATGACTGCCTCTATCTCAGTTGAATCAAGGGCCTTCTGTAAATCGATGAAAGTGAGACAGAGCGGTCTTTTGTACCCTCGCTATATCTCAATGAGTCTTCTTTTCTTGTGGATGTCGTACGTCGCACTAAATCCTTTTCGAAACCCTGTTTGCTCGCATGGCCGTCATTCGTCTAGTGTTCTGTCAATCCTGTTTAGGATGGACTCGAATCAAAAGTTTATAGACGACAGACAGCGAGCAGAATTGGCCGTAGTTGTCGTTGTCCTGTAGGTCACCCTTGAACAATAACACTGTCTCGCTGCTCTTCTAGTGAGTAGAGACCTTGCATTTAGACAGGTAGCGTGTGAAGAGCCGAGCCAGTGTGTTTACAAGGACTGGAAGAAGGCTTTTCATGTGCTCCATACTCCATACTAAATTACTCCATTATTACGTCAAAATTTAGGTAATAAGATGTTGCGATTTACGTGAAAATCATCAATGAAGGTAACAACTACGGGAGTCAACTGAGTGGAGACGCGTCCACTGAAGCAGGTACACAGCTTTTTCAGAGTGTGAGGTGAAATGCCTTCGAATGTCTGGCAACATTATGCGGAAGCTTTCATAGAAAATAAGCTATTAGCTCATTATCACGCGTGATATTGGACAGTATATAAACCTGCTATTTTGATGGGAGGGGCACATTGCGCTTCCATGTGAATTTTGTGCGGTCGGTCTTCACACCACATCCTCGGTGGAAGACTCATAGAAGTGTGCAGAGCTGTGTTAAATGTGATTGAAATCTTGGTTTAGAGTTTCTTTGTTTGGCTATGGAAGTGTCTGGCCGAGTAGATTGCTGTCAACTTGAACTTTCCAGGCTCTGCGCAAGGCGAAATCCACCGAAATGTCAGCTTATTCGTGAATGAAGAATAAAAATAACACCTTGCGTTTGCTTAAGAAGAATATGAAGAATTACTCTTTTATGCGTTAAATTCAGTGATTTGATCGACGACGGTCGGATCAAAATGCGCGGTCTATCGGTTGGGTGACTAGTCGCATTATTCGCAGTCACAGTGGAAAAACTCCAGTCGTAAGGCAGCAAATCTCCACCGATTAGGGATAATAATTAAAGGGCAGTCCTCTATTTGAACTTAGTGAAAGCTATTTATTAGCAGCATTGGGCATGTCAATAAAGAGGGTAGATGGGAGATCGTCAAGCTGCAGATGAGACCATGCTTGAGTTCGGTTACTTCTTTGGATGACGACTTCACGATTACGAAAAGAATGAGAAAAGTGCTAGGATTCTGAAACTATATGATTAAGGAACAACTAAGCAATCTAGATAGGGTCGGTTCAAGTGTGAAAACTGCTCGTTTAAATATTCTTAACTAAGTACAACGGACACGAGTAGACATTAATTCGATGTTATGTCAATTCGACCTTGCCCTAGAATCAACAAGCGTCCCGCTTTTCCGAATTTGCTAAATTAGCACCAGACTTATCTGTGAACAGTTTACTTTTTGGAACCCAAATAGAAACCCATTAGCACGGTTATCCCAGGATTCCATAAAGAATCGACTCGACCAGCATTCAAAAACATTTATAAATTAGACGGAGACTCTCAAGCAGCAGCCGAATTCACATCCAACTACGAAGGCCTTCGTAGAAAGATGGATGCTAGGTAACGAATAAAATGTAAAAAGCACTAGGATCCGTACAGTAGATGTGAATACGGTCCAATTAAAAAGATGGCGCACTAAGGAGAGCTTTAATGACCTGCTGGCCGCCAACAGAAAAAGTTGTTAAAATTTGTGGATCAGAGGAAAGTTCGTTGGACTGCAACTTGGATTTTTCCATTACAGAAGCCAATCCTGCGGTAGTCGATCAACCGCTCGGGTGCGATGAAACAGAATAAATCTCCTATCGCACATTATACTGAGTCTATATATATA